ATCAGATCAAGCATTTTGACAGAGAGGTCATCAACAGAACAAGCCTCCTTCTTTACAGAAGGAAAAAACCATTATTATATTATCTAGCTACAGAAACTCTGCTACACAGATCTCCATAAAGCACCATTATTACGTAGAGGGAGGATTTGCTGAAAATTATAATATGCACACACTGCAAAAATAACAGTCACTTACGGGTGTTTCCTGCAACTGTGAATGCAAATAGCGCTGCGACCGTTTCACAACAGAAACATCAGATCCCATGAATGGAATTGAGTATTGTTTGAACTCCGGACTGTAAAACACAAGTCCTCTGCAAATAGAAAGAACATTCACCAAAACTGTTCAGGTCTTCACCAAACAGAAAGAAACAAACCATACAGTGCTACCATTGCTGACTTTCCCTCGAGCACTTTTACAACATGATCTCTTCACTGAAAGCAGATCAAATCAGTGAATCAGATTTATCCCTGGCTCAACTCATAACTCCTTGAACTACAGCCAGGATGGATTTGATAATCAAAATAAATAAGATTCTCACATCTAATTTTCCTGTTCTGCTGATCACTTCTGAAATGAAAGAAAGAAAGTTGCCACATCTCTACAAGTCTTCCAGAATAAGTTAACTTTGAGACCCAGAAAATGCTAACATGTTCTTTTACAATCAAATATGAATTCAGTACCTTCAGTTCTACCAGACGAACATGTATGTGCGTGCAGATTTTAAAAAAGTCCTAGATGTACCTTTTAACATTTAATAATGTCTTCATAATCTATGCAATAAGTAATGGAACTGTTGTTTCATGTCGTAAGCTTCTTATACCTTCTTTTAAGTTTCGCACCAACTACTGGAACAGGGGAATATCCGATCTTCTTTCGAAGCGCCTTCAGGTTGTTTTGATCTGCCAGGCCGTAAACAGCTGACTTCCAGGTCCCATCATGTATGCAAGAACCCTGATAAAGGTCAAGGAACAGTAATTAGTTCAGTAAAGGTGTCAGATATTATTTTAATAATGACCTTGGAATCATTATGCGGTATTAGAAAATTATTACGTGTGTGCATTATGATTACGTGCGCTATGAAAACAACCCAAACACAAAAAGACAGCCAAACACTTTGCCATCCTTTTGGCAACACACGTGCATCCATTACAGCTTATTTGTGTACGAATCCTTCCCAAGTCTCTGTGCAAATAAATCAACAACAAATACTACCTATTATTTCTTGAAACTGTGTAGTAGAAGAAATTTTAGGTAGACAGCAAGCCCACTGAAACAAGTGTTACAAAAGGGTGCTTCCTTGGGTACTTTTATTAGCTCCTAAAGAATAAAGTCCTTAGACTGGTAAACAGAGAACTGCCATAGCTCACGCCTTGATGGGCACTAATGCAACAACAGCTATTCATATTAGCTATGCCAGTGTTGCCCCAAATACCCCTGAGTTTCCACAAGGGTATCAACCAACTAACCTCAGGTCCAGATTCTACTGACAGGAAACTTTCGACAGCAGTTAAGGTACCTTTAAGAGAGGAGAAAACAGGAAAGGTAATTACTTAGGACATACAGTCAGGTTTGTTCACACACCTAGAGCATACTCTGGTAGCCTTAAATGGTAGGCCAGCAACATCACAAGTTGAAGAGTTACACCGCTATCTCAAAGTAAAATAAACTAGGATTAGGATGCAAAGCTATTTTAGTTAGCAAATACAAAATTTCATACATGAAGTACTTCAGTCACTTCACTTCAGACAATTAATATTGTCGTTGGTCATTAAATGTTAGTTGCTTTATCTAATTAATAAGTTTGTGTAAATAATAAATGAAAAGAGCAAAAGAATATTTTAAAGGCAGAATTAGTTTTCCTCCAAGCTTTGAGATAAAGAATGATGTAGGCTGTGAAAACCTAGACGAACTGATGGGAGTGTGGTAAATGTTACTACAAAAACAAAACAAAAAAAGTAAATTTTAAAAAAGTAAATTTAAAAAAAGAAAAAAAAAAAAAAAAATCACACAACATATCCTAAACCAAGGGTTTCTTAGTTGTGATAAACAGCAAAACAAAAACTCCACGTTTTGTTTAGCTCTACTTTGCTCCCCTCCTTCTGAGGTTGAAAGAGATAATTTAAATCTAACGGGCAACTGGATAGACAGGTGATAAAACCAGAAAGTCAAAACAGGATGAGCTAAAAGACATCTTTATTCAAAAAGCATCCAATTTATTCACATATCCAATTATAAGACTGTGAGACTCCAGATACTCATTTCCACGCCTCTTCTTCTCTTCCCCAATCAGGTCCTTCTACAGATTTAGTTTTATTAAACTGAAAGTTGATGATACATTCCAGCATCAAGCATGTAATGGCAATTGCAATAGTAATGAAAGTAGAACATTTGGACGCTCCTACTGGCCCTTCCAACTGAAAGTCTGAGCCAATGAACAAAGTATCCTCATTTGGGTTAGGATCAAGTACTGTTTGCATAGAGTTAAATCATCTCACACCTTTTCTCAAACATATTTACTGAGTCCAGGTGCTCTTGACAAAAAGAGATATTAGCAGTGCTACCTACGTAGGTCCATATGACAACTACTCAGTGCTGGCAGTAGAGAGACAAAACTTAGGAAACCTGATTACTCACAGATTTGCAATCCCTTCCCCACGTGCACTGTGCCTTCCTGCCTCGTGCTTACAGCACTCTCACTGCACAAGTGGCAGAGAGCTGAGGATGGTCTATGTGTGGATGCCCACACGCTCGCAGAGCGGCCCAACCCTGATAGCTGAGGCGCCTGTTTTCTCAGTGAGCAACACGACCTTGAATTCTTCCTCTCCCTTATCACTGGTTTTCTTGACTCTAGTGGGAATACGATTTACATTTTATTTTTTATCTATCTACCAAATTTGGTTGCAACTGGTTAATTGGTAAAGGTAGGCAAAAGGCAGATTGAAAGACTTCCCCCAGAAGCACTGCTGTTTTACCATAACCTGCATGTCTTTTTCAGCCTATAGTCCCGCTAAATAAGTCACCTTTCAACTTGTCTCTGGTGTACAGCACTCCCATATCAGCTGGTATGGAGTCAAAGCCACAGCTTCCAATGATATACACTTTCTTCTCTGCAGCTTGTTCATTGTATTTCAGGTACATTCCTTCCAGAAACTAAAACACAAGCAGAAAAAAAATACGTAGAACCCCAGATTTGGCAATACCCAGTATTAACCACCAGCACTGTACTCTCATATCACAGCACCCTACAGACTTCACTTTACTCACAAGTATCTTTATAACAGATGCATGTTACTCCTGTTTTATGGTATGAAAATGTTGCAGCAGTGCAAGAAGAAAATGACTGATCCAAAATTCATGCAGAGAATCTTAAGTAAGATTTAAAGCAGGATTCAAACACTTTGGAATTACTGAGAATAAGGTCCTGAGAAAACTCTTATCTAACAGGGATTAAACAAATAATACACATAAACATATCCTAAAAAATCAATGCTCCTTAAAACTGCAGATTGGGAGGCAAAATTCGCCCGCATATGCAGACACAGAAACATGAAACACAACAAACAAATGCTTTACTAGGTCCCTAACGCAGAGTAGCATTTTTCCAAGCTCACATACCTGGGGCTCTCCACTGATGTCAATGCAGCTTGCACCATTTTCCACACAAGCTTTCACTACAGGCTCTCCGAAAAATCTATACTAAAGGAGGGAAAAAACCACCACAGGTAACAAAATAAAGCTCACACAACTCACCCAACTTGTTTTGTCTAAAGTATGTGTACCTACAACAGAAGTAAGCCTCAGGTGTTGATTTTGCTAAGTGAGGCAAATGTAATAATCTTGTCTTGGTAGGGGGGAAGGGGACAGGAAGAGCAGAACAAACTGCATCACTGATAACAGTTATTCCTCCTGAGTTAAGATCACCAGAGCCAACTGCACCTTGCAGTTAGCTAAAAAAAAATAAGCACCTTGCAACGCTACCTTGGTTTGTGCTTTCTGCACGTTACCTGCGTACTCTGTGGCTAACAGCTTTCACAGAGCCGGCCAATATCCAGCCTGCAGGCTTCGTACTTCAATCTGCTCAGACCCAGTTGGTGACATTGTCACTCCAAAGTTTAAAGCGGCCAAGAACTTACACCACAACTCTACGTGCTTCTTCTCTTTGCAAAGCCAGGCAGTCTGGTCTGCTGCTTGGTGACCCTGCAGATAGCAGGGGGGTTGAAACCAGATGATCATGGTGGTCCTTTTCAACCCAGGCCATTCTGTGGTTCTGTGATCCCTCAGCATTACTTCCAACACCACTTACAACGCCCAGCATAAACCAGAACTCCTCTCTGGCTTACAAGTGATTTCTTACGGTGCCTTTCAACGATGAAAAGAATAAAACCTAACTCTTCAGCGCGATCTTTCCATGCATTACAACACCCGAAAGGTTGGCGGGTCACCGTCGCACGGCAGATCCCAGCACTCACCGGGCCCACGCAGTTGAGCACTACCCGGGTCTGCTTCGCCATAGCGGCCAGCGACGCCGGGTCGCCCACATCGCACAGCAGCACGCCGACCTCCGGACCCAGCGCCGCTTTGCCTGCGTACGAAGACCGCCGTCACATCGCCCGCTCGCCGGCCCGGCCGCCGTCCCCCGCCCCGCCCCGCTTCCCCCCGCGCCACACGGCCGCAGTCCGTACCGAGCCGCTCGGCCGCCCGCTCCAGCACCTCCTGCAGTTTGTTCCGGTTGCGCCCGGCCACGGCCCAGCGCAGGGGGCCGCGCAGCTCTCCGCCGCTCGCCGTCCGCGCCACCTCCTCCACCACGAACTGCCCGGTGAAGCCGCTGGCCCCGAACACCACCAGCTCGTAAAGCCGCTCGGACGCTTCCTCGCTGCCGGCCGCCATGGCGAGGCTATGAGGCGAGACGGGACGCAGCGACGCGCCGCACTGCCGTTCAGCGCCTGGCAGCGGCCGGCACCGCGCGGCCCCGCCCCACGCCCAGCTCGAGGGGCGGCCGTTGGCGGCCGACGGTGTGCTTAGCGGCCCAGCGCCGCTGCCGATAACCGACATGCGCGTTTCAGGTCGGCCTTGCCGATGAACTGAGAGCTGCTGCTGCTCGGAAAGGAAAGCGTGATTTCCTACAGGTAAAATGCATTCGGTTTCCTCACAAATGACAACAAATAGTTGCCCGGTGAGGCTGCGGATGCTCCCTCCCTGCCGTACCTAAGTCAGCCCTGACAGAGGCCTGTGAGCCTGAGCCCCACAGTGACGGAAGCCTCACGCCACTCCCCAGGCCGTGTCCTCCAGCACTTTGGCTGTATCACTGGGAACACAAACCTCTAAGTTCAGCCCCTGCTATGGATGGTGCTGTGTGAAGCCAGGAGTTGGACTCAGTGATCTTTATGGGTCCCTTCCAACTCAGTGTATCCAATGATTCCTCTTCCCAGAAGACAGACATTGAGAAAAGATTTCATTCCTGAGCAATATATAGGAAGAAAATGCTGCTAAGCTGGAAACCTCCATGCTTTTCAGCTTTCCGTACGTTAAAAGCACTTATTCTTGTCATCTTTCCTCACAGCTTGCTTCACACATCTGCTTTTCTTCTTGTTTTCCCAACTCTCTGCAGCTGGTTTGCCTTTTTCTTGAAACTTGGTGTCCGTCGCTAAGCCCCACGTTAACTTTCCCAGGTCTAAATTGATTAACAAGGTGATGTGATGTGCCAGAACTGATCACCATCTCCACATGCCCAAACATTTGCCTTCTCTCTGTGAGCGTCCCACTGCTGGTGCACATTCAGCTCATTGCCAGTTTTACCTCCAAGGCTCTTTCGGCTTTGTCTTTGTCTTTTCCTATGCTGGATTTGTGGTGAAGGTTGACCTCCTTCCTGAATACATTTTGAACATTCCATCTCCCGAGGCATGGGAGATCCTCACTCCGAGCACTGGCTCCACTCCTCGAGTTGTGCTGATGCTGTAGTTTGTAGGCCTACGCTATCAGCTGTGTCAGTGAAACAACTCAGTCTAACAAAAAACAAAGGAGAAGGGAAGGGGAGGACAAAGATGGGTTTTGTGTTTTTTATTAATCCAGATCATTTTGGTGACCTGATTTACAGAGCAGCATGCAAAACCAGTTTCTTGTTTGAGGTCACTGAACATCTCACTGGGCGAGCTGGTTTCTCACTATCATTTCGTCCTTCCTACACACTGGGATAACTTCCAACTGTGCTCTTAATACAGCCTTAATTTTTCTCTCCTTCCAATTCTCAAAATAAAGACTATTTTCTTTGAAGACAATGTCTTCAGTCTTCCACTCTTCCCCTTTGCAAAAGCCTTGAAAATAAGTTGCAACAGTAAGAGACAGAGATTTTTCCCTATCTTGAAGTAAACAGGGCTGGCTAGAACCCTCAGTGAGCTTGCTTCAGCCTTTTGCTCCAGAAGCTTGCCTCTCTTTCTCTCTTGCCTTCTCTCTTTTGTCCTTTCCCTCATCCCTCTTTTACATCTCATACCCTCTCACCACCAAAAAAAAAAAAAAAAAAAAAAAACCACAACCAAAGGAATTGATAAATCTGCCATTCTGATTGGATCATCTGTGAGGAATCAGGGCTGCTCAAGCTTCCTTGGGCCATATGCAGTTAATAACACCTGCATTGCACTGCTGGGCAGTGGCTTAGCAATGCAGGGTTGTGTGCAGGGCTGAGAATCCTCTCAGGGACTGAAACGTTACACCAGATCAGGTAGAATTACCTTGTTTAGCAAGTCAGAACTCTCAAGATGTCCTCTACTCTTTTGGTGTCAGCTATATTTCTTTAACACACATCTACTGGAGCAAAACACTTCATGTAAACTGCAGCAAGAAATCAGACTTTTAGAGCTGCAGGGGAACACCTGAAAACCAATGAGAGGGACATCAAAACACAAGGCAAATCTATTATTTTGTTTGAATAAGATTTCATAATGGCAGCTCCAACTTCTTTTTTTTCTTGACAGAGACGTTTGGCTGGCAAGTGGACGAATCCTTCTGTTTGTAGACAACTGCAGTTTCACTCCAGTACCCTGCCTAAAGAGAAGAACAAAAAGCCAACCCTGACCTTGGACCTGAGAAGTAGGCAGGTAGGTTTCAAAATAGCAAACATCAAGGGAGTGTCAAGGCTCTGATTTTACATGGAAGGCTTATAGCAGTCTTGACTAAAGGCAAAGGTTAACCTGTCTCCCGAGTTAGTGTCGCCAATGCAGGATTGCAAAAATGATTCTGTGGGAAAGCTGTGGGAGGGCTTACAGTTTACCTGTGTCCAATAAAAAGACAAGAAATGCCAGATCTGCTGCCAGCTTCTGCTCCCCAAGGGAGGTTCCCACATGGATCAGCTTTAGAAACTCATAAAAATGAGCTGTTTCTTTTTAAATGTCGCATCTTCAGATTTGAAGGTACTGATTTATTTTTGTTAAATACTCGTGTGCAAAGAGAGGTTTAAAGATTTAAAAGTGCTTCAGTTAAAGCCTCTTTAAACCAGACTGCTTCAGTCTAAAATAACTTTGGTCGCTAGAGGGCCATGCCCATTTCTTTGGGACCCAGAAGTGCACTTGGGCTCCCATATCAGCTTTATCTTTTCCAGTCCTTTCAGTAAAAAAGGGCATGCCTCCCTCTGCTAGCTTCTGTTCCACCGAGAGCCTGTGGCAGGATTTGAGTCTGCAGGCATTTACAACAGCACTTGTGTTTCTCTTCATTTGGTGCCATCGGTGTCCTGAGAAAATCCTTGCTTTCAATATTTATACACCCCTCGTACACCAATCCAGAGTTAAATTTCTTCTACTCGGTTATAAATTCAAGATATGTTTTGCTTATTAGAGTGGAAAATGAAGATGCTGTTCCATCACTTCAACAATAAGGTAGCAGAAAGGGTGCAATATGCTATCAATTGCACAATGCTATAGGAAGGCAATGCTTTTAATTGTATCGTACCCCAAAGATTAAAATAAGATCTCTGAGTTGCATCACTACAAAAGTTACTGCAGGACGCAAGGAATGTGCCGCATGGCATTAGGCAGAGGTGTTGGGAAGTAAGGCTATCTAATAATGCATGGATAATTCACTGCAGAGTATGAAAAGCTCTGTGGTGAGTCTATGTGGCATAAAATGGAAAGGCGGGCACCTACCTACCAGCTGCAGTTACTCAGCACTGTAAGCATGTGAGAACAAATGTTCCTGGAACAAAGCCCCCGCCTCTCAGTGCTGCAGTTGTGTCTTGAATGTATGCAGAATATGGCTTTATAATCAGATGTTCCCAAAAGCCATACAGAGCTTTTGAATATGTGATAACCCAAACCGTTCAGAGTGGGAGAACAAATGATAGAATCGTAGAATATCTGGAATTGGAAAGGACCCGTAAGGAGCACTGAGTGCAACTCCTGAAAAAGAAAGAAAAACGTGAAATTAAGAACTGCATTTCCTGAATTCCGTTCCACAGGGAGTTGCTTTCCACATATTTGGTAATATTTTATTTTCTGGTAAGCCAGTTTTATGGAATTAAAGATGAAAAAAGTGAAGAACACAAAGTAGAATGGGTGCAAATATTGGCGTTCGGTGATAGGAAGGAAAGCCAAGTATTCTGAAATGCCTCACACTTCTAAAAATTGATGAATATGTGATATACATACATAGATGTATTCAGCCAAGTAATGGTAACTGAGCAAAGTTATTTCTGCCTATTTTACTTATTTCTAAATTTGGGGATTACAAAAGAGCAGATGGGAGTTCATGACTCCTGCGAACCCCCCCCTCTTGTTTCTAAGTCATGTGTGTACGCTTTCCCATTCATACCAACTCTAAGAAATCTCTTACAAGAATAAATAAATGCAGACTTGACCCACAGAGGTAGAGCAGAGGTCATTCAACACATCCTGAAGTTGTCAGTTCTCAGACCGAACCTGAAATGTGTGCAGGAATGAAAAGATTGATAATCCTACAGTAGTGCAATCAAATCCCAGCTTTCTTTTATGGAGACCAAACAGGAAAGCATAGGAGAAGAACACATTTCTCTGACAACACTGAACAACAACAAAATCTGCATCAGAACAGCATGTAATACACGTGACCACATTGTATATTAGAGATAAACAGCTAAAAGATGGTGCTCTTGGTAGGTTTCACAGGGCTCTGTCTTACCTGACATCTCACCAGCCATTTTGGTGACAACAGTCTAATGATTGAGATGTGGCCATAAGGTAAGCACTTAAAATACCTCCCTTAGGTGCACAGAAATAATTCACAGAATCATAGAATCTTTCGAGTTGAAAGGGACCTCTAAAGGTCATCTGAAGCTCCCAGAGTTGGACTCCAAACTCAAAGGCAGCTAAGAAATTACAAAGTGAGAAGATTAAGAAAATTCAGGCTGTGCTGGAGAAGCAATCTGAGTTTCAGACATTCAGTGGGAGGTTAAAACATGGAAGGTAGTGGTGCTGAGAGAGACAGGAATTTGCCTGGTGAATGGCAAGTGTGGGATGTATTAGCTATGCAGAATCATGAGATCACAGAGAAGGAAATGAAACGTTTGAAAGTCTAATTTAAAACATTGTGTCCTGGCTCAGCCGCTTCACTACAATGCATATCCTAATAAGTTGCAGAGAGTTCTATGAAAATAATCCAGAAAATAATGAATTAGCCAGAAGGATGGAGTCTCCTACTGGGAAAAATCAAAGAGATCCCATCAATGTAATAGCTACAGAGTCAGGAAAACGCTTTGGGACTTCTAGGACTGTGCACCTGAGCAGACGTGGCTGACACCACTCAATCCTCACAGCAAAAGATTTGGTGGGAGGATGAGGGCAGTGATTTGGTAAGCACCAGAGGATAGGACTCCTGGAGCTGCACGTGCAAGTATGCAGAGCGAAACACCAGGACATTGACTGTGAGGATGCAATGTGTTACTGCTACTGTGAGCACATGGACCACACAGCTCACCTGCTTTTACCGTCTGCAATCTGCAGCAGTGGAGTGAACTGCAAAATTCTTCTGCCACCTTTCCCTCAACTACCTCATGAGTGCAACAACAGGTTCTAAATAGTCTTCAAACTTCATGTTTCTTGTATCTTACTTGAGCCATGTCATTCTAGAGAGAATTTGCACTAATGAGCTATATCTGCTTGCAGGCATGAACAGTTTCTCAGTCATGTGCTGTGGTTTACTGGCTTCAGTTGCCTACAGAACTGCTTGGTGGCCAGCCAGGCCTGGTCGCACAGCCACGTGCCTCTGTTCAGTGCATTTGAATGCTGTGTCAGTGTTCCCACAGAATACCCATAAATACTTCTCTTCTTTCAGTTTGTACACAGTCTGCTTTCATGCAAAGAGGGACTCCGATTGTCCAACACACTGGCAGACATCTTCTTTGCAGAAAAGATCCTAATGGATTTCTGGTGTCTGTGATTTTAGAATTGGGCACATTTTCCAAAATCTGCAGCTCAGAAATACGTCCTATCAAAGAGGTTTTCTGAGAATTGCCACAAGAATGATAAACTATTTGCTTTTGTTCAGTCTGTAGAAAACAGAAGGTTAGCCCTCAGACCACTGTAACCCCACAGACTGAGTTTAGATTGAGTAGCTGGCACACGTACCATTTGCTGTGAGGATAGAAAGACAAAAACACAGCATGTAATGCAGAGCCAGCAAATTCTCCTCATTTTATCAAGCTGGACAGTTCAGCAGCATGCAGGGCCAGTAAATGGACTTTGAGAAATTACTAAAGAACTTTAGTGCAGGAATACATGCAGTGAAGCATACTTTGTCACTCTTGACATACTTCCAGCACCGCCAGGGGACTGTTTGCAAAGTCTGCGTAGAGCCCAGCATTGGGTTACGTCGCAGTGTTACCTTACTTACAGAGACAACTCTCTCCTCTCTTCTGAATTTCTGAGATGGAATCAATGTTTCCTGAGTGAACTGAGAATCAGTTATTTAAGGCTTTACTTCAGCCACACCATCTGATCTCGCAACTTGTAAGAACTTGCTTGACTCATGGAAAGTAGTGAGATGAAGGTACTGTTTTCTCTGTACAGCTGAACATGCGCAGAATGGATAAAGGACAAAGGCCACAGTCCAATATTCTCTCACCTCCTCCTGTAGAGCACAGTGCCTGCAACTGCCCTAGGTGGTTTAGATGGCTTTTCTAAATTCGTGGTTCTCCACAAAGAGACTTCCAAGATGTGGCACACAATTTTCACACGAGGTTTTTAAAGGAAACAAAAACCAAACGCCTTATGTATCTCCAGTAGCAGATTCAAAGTCTCCATTGTACCAGCTCTTACCTGAAGAGGAATAAGTATTTCCATGTCAGCAGCTGCTGTGTGAGGGGAGGACACGGATACCTGACTGTTGATAACCTGGCCACCAGAGAAGCATAGTTATAAAAGTCTTTGCTCTTTAGTAACTTCCTGAACATTAGGTAAGTTCTTTCACAACAGCAGTTACAGCCAGTCAACAGAACCTCACTGCTACATCTGGTGTGTTCAACTGCTCCTCTAAACTGCCTGCAGCAACAAGCCAGGTGGTGCAGCAACCTGCACTTGTAGCTCAGCATGGTAGAAAAAGAGAAGATAAGGAGAGAGGATAAAATGAAGCACAAAGTGTTGGTGAAATCTGATGTACTCTAGGAAACTGAGTGGCTTACGCTGAGGGCATGCAGTAGGTGGGCAGGGGCAAAAGATGGTATTTTGGTGAAGAGAGTTACGAGGACAGGAAGGTAGAAGATCACAGAATCACAGAATGTCAGGGACAGGAAGGGAGCTTGAAAGATCATCTAGTCCAGTCTCTCTGCTGGAGCAGGAACGCCTAGATCAGGTCGTGCAGATCTGGGGTAGTGCAGCAGGTTGTGGGAGTGGGACCTGCAGAAATCTGTGCATCTGGGGATCTGATGAAGGGAAGGAAAACTCTAAGAGAGGAGAGGCAGGCAAGGATGGAAACGTACCACTCCTGACCCATCTTCATGATTTGCACAAGACGTATGCTGGTAATGGCTACTGATTCTGGCTCACAAACAAATTAAAATTCGAGACCTCCCTGCTCCAGCTCAGTCTTTTACAAGTTATCTGCAATCGAAAGCTCAGTGTGCTTTTCATCGAAC